TGTCCTAGCTCTTATTTAAGTAGGAGGAACAGGTATAGACTGAAAGGGCTGCTTGTGTAAATGAAAAATAGCATCTACTTGGTGAGGTGGGGAGTTGTGAGGGGAAAAAAAACACTTCAGAGAAGAAAAGAGAAAAATGAAAGAGTGGGAAAGAAGGAAAAGCAAAGGTCAGGAACAGTGATAGTCCTGAAGGTGTACATATGGCTGTTACTGAATGAACGGTAAGGTACTGAACAAATAGTAATTAAAATCCTAGCTACTATGTAAATGCCAGATTATAGCTGTGATCTTTTTGCAGACTTTTCCCATGCTTTGAGGCATGGAGTCATCCTTACCTCATTTGTAGGGTGGCTGGACTCTGCTGGAGTGTTTTAGCTGCAGGGACAATGCAGAAGGGGCTGGGATGAGAGAGATGATTATGCTGTTGCTAGCTACATGTTCAAATTGTAATGCCTCTTTCCTAACTCGTTGATGTGCAAGGTCTTGGTGTCGTGGCAGCTTTTGCAGTTTTTCTGATACTAATGAGCAGTTTATCTCTAGTTATTCAACTTATTTAATTCATAGCATACAGGAGCACAAGAGCTCTAAGGTAAACCAGCCATCTGATGGGTGTATCCTCCTCCAAGTTTCCAGTCCCAAGAAGTTCCATGGCAGATCCAAAGTGGCTACTGTCCCTTTGGAAACTGTGTGTCTGCAGGTCTCTAACCCTGGTGTAATTCCCCAGGCTGAACCAGATTGTTTTGTGACCTGTATTTGAGGGCTGTGTGCTTCAAAGTTCCCTTTTTGTCTGGACAAAGTGGAAACTCATTTTTTGAGGCTGAGCCTTCATGACTTGTCTGTGTAGGGACCTCAGCATTAGAGCTCACAGCCTTGTTGCCTAAACTCGTTTACCTGTTCTGACAATACTTCAACACAGAGTGACTTCCTCAGAGATGCAAGATAGCTAAACACAGTTTTTGTAAAAAGACTTTTTAGAAATAATTTAGTCATTTCCTGTAGCATGAGAAAAGTAGCAAAGTATGAAATGTTTTCAAAATTTAAAATACTTAGAAAATTCCTTCATCCAGTGGCCTTATCTTTCCAGTTGAGCCATTTGCTTCTACTGAATTTCACTTTTTGAGTGTGTTTTTTCAGCCTGATACAGTTGATAGTTACTCTTGCTCTGCTGAAAGCTTGTTGGAGTTAACCTCATGGTTCTTGGTGTTTGCTATCCCACTGAACTGGGATGCCTTCTTATGAATGATGGACAGTCAGAGTTAGCAATATACATTGTTACCATGTCCATCTTTGAACCAAGATTAAAGTAAAAAGACAGTACCAAGGATAACAAATACCACAGGTACTGTATTGTGAACTTTGCATGAAAAATATGTTGAAGAAAGCAAACAAATGCTTAACGATACATAGATTTCCCAGGTCACCGTACTGTTTTTTTTCCCCTAACATCTGTACTAGCATTCTCCTAATGTTCTTCTATCAGTCTGGGATTTGGCCCAGATATTGGTGAAGCACACTCTTGTAGTCATCTTTTAACTGATGTGGCAGTTTAAGATTCCTCCCAGGGAATACTTACTTCTAGATCAATGAAGCAGAAATATCTGAAGCAGGAGTTACAACTTGTTTTTTTTCTAGTTGTCTCAGTGATGTATGCTGAAAGTACTGGTTTAAGTCTTTATGTACTCCTGTGTGTGTGTACAAAACCCTGCCTTCTTGAAATAAACCTAGGGCTCTGACAAATGAAAATTAAGTTGAAAGGCTTTCTGTTATGATTTCTTTCTTAAACCTTTGAGATGAAAACTGTTAAAGGTGACTCTCACAGACCAGACTGCCTCTCATTAAGCATTAGGTCTTGTTACATCCATCTACAGGGGATCCAAGAAACAGAAAATATATTTAGGGGTTTAGTTTCAGATGCCCCAATTCAGATGCCAGCTATGGGAAGCATCTTGTGAGGCCTGGCTCTAGCCTGGAGAACAGCAGGAAGAGAGGCGCTCTTTAAAATGAGTGGCAAAGGAAAGGTGATTGAAATCTTCCTCGTAGAGAGGCTTGTCTTATGAGAGGTTGTCAGGTGAACGTTGGGGACTGGCATGTTTCAAGCCTGCCTGAAGAGAAGACCATCGGACAGTTGCAGAATTGCCAAGCTCTGTGGCTCAGGGCTGACCCTTCAGCAGTGGGTGTCTGCAGGTCTCACTGCGCAGCCCTGCAAGGGCCTTGAATGTGCATCATTGCCCTCCTGTAGCGAACTTCTTCACGCACTTCTGTCATCATCTCCATCAACTACTAATGGAAGTCCCTCTTGGTAAAGTTAATGTCAAGAAGTAGAAGAATCTGGTCTGTTTTCTGTCCTTTGCAGGGTGAGACTTAGTTTGGTGGACTTTAAAACTTTGGGTTGTAAACTGAACAAGCCCCCTCTCATGGTCATCACAGCTTTCCTGTCATGGTAAAAGCAAATAGTACTCCTCCTCCTTGCAGAAATACAGATCACAGAATCATCTAGGTTGGAAAAGACCTTGAAGATCATCCAGTCCAACCATTAACCTACACTGACAGTTCCCAACTACACCATATTCCATAGTGCTATATTGACCCTTCTCTTAAGCACCTCCAGGAATGGGGACTCCACCACCTCTCTGGGCAGCCCATTCCAACACTTAACAACCCGTTCTGTAAATAAATGCTTCCTAATATCTAGTCTAAACCTTCCCTGGTGCAACTTGAGGCCGTTACTCTTGTCCTATCACTTGTTACTTGGTTAAAGAGACTCATCCCCAGCTCTCTGCACCCTCCTTTCAGGCAGCTGTAGAGGGTGATGAGGTCTCCCCTCAGCCTCCTCTTCTTCAGACTAAACCCCCCCAGTTCCCTCAGCCGCTCCCCATACGACCTGTGCTCCAGGCCCTGCACCAGCTCCGTTGCCCTTCTCTGGACACGCTCGAGTCATTCAATGTCCTTTTTGTAGTGAGGGGCCCAAAACTGAACACAGGAATCGAGGGGCGGCCTCACCAGTGCCGAGTACAGGGGCAAGATCCCTTCCCTGTCCCTGCTGGCCACGCTATTGCTGACACAAGCCAGGATCACAGAATCAACTAGGTTTGAAAGGACCTTGAAGATCATCTAGTCCGACTGTTAAACCATTGGCCACCTGGGCACACTGCTGGCTCGTGTTCAGCTAGCTATCAATCAACACCCCCAGGTCTGATACCAATGTGAACAAGATCAACAGGCATACAAAAAAGTGTATCTTCAGTTTCTTTGGTTTCCTGTGGATAAATGCTGTCCTCTTGAAGGAAATCTTTTATTGTTCCTCTGAATGCAGTTATAAATGGAACAGAAATAGGAGAAAAACTCTACTAACTAGTTTTTAATCCCAGGACATGCATGTTCAAACTTGACTTCTCCTCAGAACCAATTTTGAAATAACAGGCTTTGTTTTTTTTCATTAAAAGACAAGCTTATATGAAAGACTTTGCTGCAATAATTTTTTCGAAGGATATCAAGTTATCCACAAGAAAAGCCTGTCAGAGAGGAGCTTTAGCTTTGGAAGCTGATTTCACACCACCACCACCCCCCCAACCTTCACCCCCTCGCCAAGAACTACTTCTTGGTGTAGAACTACTTCTTGGTGTAGAAGCAGTCTGAGGCTTGCCTGCCATTAGTTGTAACACTATCAAGACAGGAGAATTGAAAGAACAAACTTGCCTAAATGGGCAGAATTTCCTTCTCAGCTCAACAGATGTGTTTCAGATAAATGTGTTCTTCTTTCCTTCTTTTCCTAGGAATTTTCCTCTGGCAAAATTGAATGTTTCAAGGGACACTGTTTAAGATCAGTGCGAAAAAACATGCCACCCTGTTCAGACTCTAGCTTTGACAAAAGCATGGAAATATTAAGTGAAAATGTCAATCGAAGACACTTGATGAGGTATTGTATTTTGAGATGTCCAATCTCTGTTCATTTTATAGAATGAAGAGGAAAAGTGAAAGCATGCACAATGAGTCACATCATGATAAATCTACAGCTAAAAATCTGTGGGTGTATATGATTATGTTAATGTCAGTGCCAGTATCTTAGAACTAGAATCACTCTTCTTAGGAAATGTCTTTTGCTTGTATAAAAAACATGCATCTTTCCCCAAATCCTTTGAGACCTCTCGTCCACTTTGGTTTGGTTTTGGAGATTATTTGCCCTACCGAGACTTAAAGATTTGCAGGTTTAGGGAACGTCCATCCCTATAAAACTCTTTGCACATGATACACAGCAGACTTGGGGTCTGAATCCTTATGATCCAGAGGCTTTTATTTGCATGATGTGGAGCACTGGATTATAAACTTAAAATTTCCTAGTCTTGAGGGGGGAACTATACAATGCGGTACGATACAATACTTCTGTACAATAATTCTAATCCAGTAATTCTTCTCTCTGTCCTCTTTATTAATGTAGAGAGTTGGCAAAGCCGAACTCAGACCAAAAAAATGAAGACTATAAAGAAGGTAAGTAGTGGTGATTCCTTTTTAGTCTGGTTTCTGAGAAGCATTGCATTTGGTCACTCTATTTAACTTGCCCCCAAAATCTTCTGAACACAGCCAGAATCGGCTGAAGTTGTGAGTACTGATATATCCAAGATAGCGAATTTCCCATGAGTTTTGTGAAGAGAGGTAAGTGCAAATAGGAGGATGTGCTGTTAATTCCTTTCAGGCTTTGGGAGAACACAGTGTGAATTCCAGCATGTTCTTAGGCACTGGAGAATCTGTTCCTTAGCCTGGGTTTCTCAGTGACATAGATATTCTGGAGTCTGCAGGACACCAAGTAATGGAAAATCTTTTTTGCAACTAGGAGGGAATGTTGCAGTATTGTCCTGGTTCAGCTAGGATAGGGTTAAGTTTTCTCCCAAGCAGGGGGAAGGGATCTCTAGCTAGGTTATTCACACCATGCTGAAGTCAGGTCCTGCAGAAGCTTTCCTTTGTGGCTTTGGTCGCAGAAAGCACGCGCGGCGGGCTCGCTGTATCACTGCGGTATTTCTCTGTATCTTTTGTCTTGTTTACTGTCATTACTGTTTGTTTTTGTTACTATCGCTATTGTTGTTCAGATTGTTTTATTACACTGTTGTATTAAACTTATTATTTTAACCCAGGGTTTGTGCCCTACTTGTGTCCGAGGGTGGGGGAGGGACGACGGCAACGTGGTCTCCAGTCCCAGTAGGGCCTAAACCAACACAAGTATTATCATAGAATTGTAGAACAGTTTGGTTGGAAGGGACCTTAAAGATAGATCATCTAGTTCCAACCCCTTGCCATGGGCAGGGACACCTTCCACTAGACCAGGTTGCTCAAAGCCCCGTCCAACCTTCCAGGGAGGGGACAGCCACAGCTTCTCTGGACAACCTGTGCCAGTGCCTCACCACCCTCACAGGAAAGAATTTCTGCCTTACCTCTAATCTGAATCTACCCTCTCTTTTGAAGAGTTTAAAACTGTCACCCCTCATCCTGTCCCTACACTCCCTGATATAGAGTCCCTCCCCAGCTTTCCTTTAAGTACTGGAAGGCTGCTGTAAGGTCTCCCCAGAGCCTTCTCTTCTCCAGTCTGAACAGCCCCAACTCTCTCATCCTGTCCTTGTAAGGGAGGTGCTCCAGCCCCCTGGTCATCTTCTGGGCCCTCCTCTGGACCCACTCAAGCACGTCCTTCTTATGTTGCCAGAGCTGGACACAGCACTGCAGGTGGGGTCTCACGAGAGTGGAACAGAGAGGGAGAATTGCCTCCCTTAGCCTGCTGGCCACACTGCTCTTGATGCAGCCCAGGATACAATTGGCTTTCCTGGCTGCAGATATACGTTGCAGTGTCACATTGAGCTGCTTCTCAAGCAACACCCCCAAGCCCTTCTCCACAGGGCTGCTCTCATTGCACTCATTGCCCAGCCTGTACTTGTGCTTGGGATTCCCCCTACACTTGTGCAGAACCTTGCACTGGGCCTGATAGAAGTTTGTGAGGTTTGCACGGGCCCGCCTGTCCAGGCCCCTCTGGATGGCACATCCCTTCCCTCCAGCAAGTCGACTGCACCACACAGCTTGACATCATCAGCAAACTTGCTGATGGTGCACTCAATCCCACTGTCCATCTCTCCAACAAACAGATTATTATATATTGCAATATTTTATTATATTGTAATACACTATAATATTGATTTAATTGTAGTGTTGTAATCTTTATTGTTTCTTTATACTATTGAATTAATTATTATAACATGTGAGTTAAAAAAAAATTCAGTCAGGAGACACACAAACCCACTGATGTTGGGAAGGTGTCCCTCAAGCTCAGCGATTCATCTTGGAACTGAATTGCCGTGCTGAGAGCACAGGAAGGCTCAGTGCCACTAGACTGTTTGCTGGCAGCTGGGAAAATCCGATATCTCCAGTCAGTGTCCTGCTAGCCTTGGGCTGTATGCGGGAAGGGACCTGAAATGCACTTTGTGTGTAGTAATTCAAGTACCTGTGCAATATACATTGTTATTTAATGAGCTCTGCCTTAGTTTTATTGTTGGTGATGATGAGAAGGAAGCATAGCTGTGTTTATACTGACTATCTCACTGATCTCTCCACTGTTTTAATGATAGTGCAAGTAACAAACCCATGGCAAATGATGCTGTGTGGTAAGTACTGGGCAGATCTTTCCTTGCAAGCAAGCAAGCGTTTGAGTTCTTTGGTGTTTGGGTATTTATCCTGAGGAATTTCTTACCTTCTAGAGATTTTGTGCAATGATGGAGAAAATTAAAGTGATGCATGTTTAAACAGTGTACTAAAAACACGCATCTTAAGAACAGACTTCCCACATAAACAATTTTTTAAAAAAAACAATTAGATACAATTTTACATGGATGGAGCAAAACCACTTTATATGGAGTTATTTGTTGTCTTCGGGAAGAAGTAACTGCATGGAACAAAAGTTGTGTGTTTGTTTTCATCAGGGTGTCTTTTCAGTCTATTAAAAACTTGAGATACAGGTCGTGCTTTTAAGTAGATAGTTTAAAGAGAAGTAATTTAAGCTGAATGCTGTGGTCACAACAGTAACTTCCAATTCAGTATTTAAAGAAAAAAACCAATCCACTGCATATTTTCTTTACATTTTATTAGAGCAGTGGTGAAATAAAGGGGAATAACTTATTTTCTGCCTCACAGTATTTTATATATGAATGCATTTTAGTCACTAAAACACTGAAGACAAGAGCTGAAACAAAAGCTGCAGAACAAGTCCATCAAGAAAATGAGGATTTGGAAGTCCGCCGAAGCTGCAGACTTCGACAGAGTCATTACACCACTACAAATCAATCTGTTTTGTTTGACAAACTTATAACAAAGTAAGTGGGCTTTTTTTCACCATCTTGCAAAAGTACTAAAAATAAGCCTTATTAGCAAGCCTTTGTGCTATGGCATAATACTGGCTAGGGACTTTCTCCTTTGGACAGCAGAAAAAGGTGCTACTCGTGGCAGCCAGAGCTAGACATATTCAGTGGTTAGGCTGAGACATTTGCATGTGCCCCTGCGTAAACATTCCGCGCTGCCATAGTTACTAGGCTGGTAGGTTCCACCATGTTACATAACTTGGAACGTTCTGGGTCTTTCTAAGGTCTGGTAGCGTTCAATTCAGTGGACCAGATAGTGTCTCCTCCTATGCCCGTATGTCCTGTAATTGTTAATATACTGAGATATATATATATATGTATATAAGATGGGAGCCTTTTTACTTCACAGCCAGTCTGTTTAACCGATTTTGGGGGGAATACGTGCTTGTGGCTGTTTTAGACTTCCAGATGTGCAAGTGTGTGGGGGAGGCTGTCTTTGGAAGGTGCTTCATTTGTAAAGACTTTAGGCACAGTTTATGTTTAAATTACATTTAATTTTATGTTTAAAATCCCAATCTGTTTTGGGATTGCCAGATGCAGAGACCTCTTCATAGTAGAGCATCTCTTATGTGAGGACTGGTTGGATTTACGTGTTGTCTTGTGAACCAAAGTGATCACTTTATGTTGTGATTCTTGGTAGCTTTAACTTGCCCTCTGAATCCATTTTCTTAGCATCTGAAGTGCCTTCTTAAATTTTAATTACCTTTTCTTCCATGCTTAACAAATATTTTTATAATGCTTGGTTGATTTAAGCTACTGAGCAAAGTTTTATACAGCAAGGTGAGTAGTCCTAGTGTTTCTGCTTGTCTGTCCATGTCTCAATTCTCTTTGTGAAGCCCAAATGGACATTGTTTTCTGAAAGGTTTGTGAAGTGTAACAGCAGCAGTATGTTTCTTCCAGCATATATAGTCACGGAAATCAACTTGAACCTTAAACTATGGCTAAGAGAAGAATAAGTAACCTGTTGTCTGAGGAAGGCTGTGAACTAAAAATGACTTAATGCTATCATGCAGAACAACTTAAGTGTTATTAAAAACTGCCATAATTTTTTTTCTGTTGCTATCATCTTCAAAGTTCTTTTTTTCTTACTAAAACTGACTTTTTTTAAAACTGTTTAGCTAGAGAAAATAAACTTGAAAACAGTATATGTTTGCAAGTCCTCAAAGCTTGTTCTTAAATCTCTCTGTGCTCTTGCACGTCAACTTTTTATCTTAGTACTGCAGAAGCAGTCTTGCAAAAAATGGAGAAGATACGTAGACAGCAAATGATAGAAGACTGTGAGATGTTCCGCAACACAGAAGTAAGATATTAATTTAATATACTATTTTTGTATCAGCAGTGTATTTCACATAGGGAAACTAGTTGTAATTTTAATTTAGCTGAAATAACTTCTTCCAGAGTATTGTAGTCTAAAATAACATTTGTTTTCGCTCTGTAATTATAATTTAATATCTTACTCTTATAGTTATGCTACAGATATGCTCTAAAGGTGGAGGGAATATCTTCAGAAGCCATGAGGTAGCAGTGAGATGCTGAAATCCAGGTCTTCTACTACGCTTTCTGAATTGCCTTATGATTTTTGAATAGACACTGTTTACAAACAGCTGGTTTAGGTCTTGGCTTTTCACTGCAAATCTTACTGAAAAATGAATTCATTGATGTTTGCTTCATCTATGTTTGTTCTTGTGCCAGCCTTGCCTGGGAGCTGAAGTACTCCTGTGTCCCTAGAGGAACTTCTGTTAAAATTATACACAGCAATCATATTTTCTATGTCTTATTTTTGCTCTATTAAATTAAGTTCTTGCTGTCCTTTTGAATGACAGGCACTTCATTTCTTAAACATATTCATAGTTTGCTTTCGTAGTGTTTTATTTAGATCTGAAATCCTTTTTTTGTTGTTTTTTTTCTAATGAAACCATAATTGTCCCTAGTACTTTGTATATCATCTCTGAAATGCCTGTATGAATTTTTTTTTTGTCTGCTGGGAAATGCTTTTTCTTGTGTACTGCCACACTCTTGGATTATTAACCTGTGAATGATTGATACACTTTGGTTTTGTATCCAGAGAAGTATTTAACTATCATAGGTTCTAAGCCCTATTTTAGAGCAGAAATTCTTGTCCTGAAATCCTGGGTGCCAGAATGATGTTCCTATTCTCTCTTCTTGTACTTTAATTTCATCTTTTGTGTATATGGAGTACCTTGATAATGTTACTATAGAGGCACCAAATATGCCCATGTTAGGTTTTCTGCATATTTGTGACTGATCTTTCTTGTTTCTTTTAATTAGGAAAATCTTGATATTTATTCCCAAGGAGAGGAAGAAATCCAAACAGGTGGCAAAGAAATAGATGATAAGCCAGATGACATTGTAGGTTAGTTCTGTTTTAGATTTTCTTTACTGTGCTCTAGCCAAAAGCCTTGTCTTAAACAATTGAGATGAGCTGAACTACTGGGTGTTTTTCACCTCTTGAAACATTATGTATTGCTGTTGACATTACGAGCCATAGTCATGGACTCTAGGGCTGTAGCGTAGTGATCTCAGATCAGGTATTGAGAGGGAAAAAAAAAAAAAATCATTGCTTTTGCAAAATGCTTGCAAGATAAAAGGCAACAGATGGCTGTGGACAGGTGGGAATACAAAGAACTGAACAGTGTTGCTCAGAATGAGAAAGAACGATCTTGCTGTAGCACAAGCATGACAGTTTTCACAGTTTTGAGCAGCACAGCGAGAGCATTTTTTGGAAGTCAGGTGGGCTGCCAGATGTGTATGGAAAGCTCCTCCCAAGTGTGAAGATCAGCACGGGAGAAGGTAGAGGTGTTCCTTTTTGTGTTTATCAGCAGTCAGTGGAAACTGCTGTCCAGGCTGTTAGTTAGGAGCTGTCATCCTGGTACTCATGGAAATACCATGAGGAATAAGGTTAAATTGTAAAAGGCCATCTTAACTTTATGTTTGAAGTGAGGAGGGGAAGACTTTAAGGTTTTAAGGAGAGTGATAGTTGTGATGAAGGCAGTCAGTGCAATGGCCCTTGCAGGAGTTTTCTGGGTGGAAAAGAAGGAGGTGAGACTGTACTTTAAGAACAGAAGAGAATGTGGCAGTAGTTGAGCCCATCAGTGTTAGATTTTGTGATAGATCTCTGCACACCCACAAGAGAGCTCAGAGGGACAGTGGCAGGAGGGGGATTCCAAATAATACCCTGCTGGGCTACTGCCAGGCCCATCCCAGGGCCATCAGCCCATCCAAGTCCTATATGCATGAGCACAGGGGTGCCCAGTGAGAGGCAGGGACCCAAATCAAGAAGGAGCAGCTCCCTTGTCTGGGCCCCTCCTGGGGCTGTCCCAGCAGAGCCATCAGCCCCAGTGTGCAGATATGAAACCCATCTGGATGAGTCGTTGGGAGCAGCTCTCCAAATGACATTTTGGACTAAGGGATTACTGCCTAGAGGTGGGACATACTGTAAGATGCAGGGGAAGAGCAGTTTGCACAGGACTTATGGGATCTTTAGGGCAGGAACCAAAGGCAGAACAAGGGAGGGGCTTGAGGTCATTTCAGGAGGAACAAGAGTGGGAAAGTAGAGGGGCAAGAGGTAAAAAGGGCTGGTGATATGTCAATAGTTTGCTGGTCAGTACACTTGACTGACAGTGCCCTGCACCTGATCACCTCTCTGACCATCAGAACTTGAATAAGAGATGATTTGTGCAATAACCAGTGAGGGCAGTATCTTGTACATGTTACACAGACTGTGTGAGACCCGACCACTGGCAATGGAACCTTACAAAAAGGTTCAGGGTAAATGTCCAGGTGTCATTGAGCCCTGGGGTGATCTTGTTACTAATCACGAACAGGCTGGAGAACAGTCCGTGGCCTGTTGTTAGGCCTATGATTAGATCTGACCTAGCCTGTGGCTCCCGATCAGACCTCCTTGTAGAGCAGTGAGAGGACACTTGGAGCCATAGGAGTCGTCTGGTGAGAGGCTGACTTAAAGAAACCAAGGTAGGGCAAGGCATGAACAAAAAGAGACATCAGGTATGCCAAGGCCATTTGACTGGAGAGGGAGAAGGACAGCTGACTCATCATTTGGAGATTAGGAGTTAGGAGAGTATCAACTCACGGCTTTAGTAAGAGCAGCTTTAATAGAAGGCATGAGCAGTCTAGAGGGAGGAACTGTATGGCTTGGCTCAGGTGTGTAGATCTCAGGCAGTTGGGCAGGAGAGACTTCTTGTAGATAGTATGTGGAATGGGAAGTAAGAGTGGGGCAATTAATTTGTGATCAAATTGCAAACTCTGGAATTTTAATTTAGGAAAAATCTAAAATATATTTCTATAAGGAAAAGCATGCCAGGAAGGAGCAGGGCAAATGTTTCAGTGTTGGTGTAAAGAAGATGAGTGGAGCAAGGGGAGGGACTAGAGAAGCAGAAAAACAGAGAAATTCATGCCTTTGAGAGGAGTGTTGGAGTATCAGTGACTGGGAATGGTAGCAATACCAAAATATATTTTCAGTTTTCCATGTGCTGTCTATATATCTTGTGTATTACCTTGCATTCAGAAAGCAGTGCAACCTTTTGGGAAGAAGAAAAAAAAAAAAAAGGACAGTTCTTTACAAGGAATGAAATTCACTTACCTGTAGCGAGTGGGTAGGTGAACAGAGCATGTCCATTCCTCACCTGGTGTACAGCTATGAAGGTGAGAGGGTATTATTAAGAACCTGCTAGATAATGATACTGCTTTTTTGCACTCTTACCATCTTTTATGAAAAAAAAACAAGTTACTTTCCAGAAGCTAGTGGCATAAACTGTATGCATTCAACATTGTTTTCTGATTGGGGAAATTCAAACCATTGTCCATTGCCCATTGTTGGTCATGTAATCTGTGGCAGAGGCAGGACTTGGAGCTAGATTACACCATGCTTACTCTTACGACTATAGAGTATTAAAAACATTTCCTTGAAACACTTTCTTAAAAGAACAAGGCTTTCTGAAATAGTGGTTTTCATAGGAGCTGCATCTTAGCTAATCGAGGTGACAGAATTGTTGGTACTAAGACTGATTAGAAGTCACCCAGCCGTTGGAGCAAGGGCAAAACAATATCTGTTTGCATGCTCCTCTGTGTTTACTGATTTCTGGCATGTGTCTTGCATAAAGTGGTCTTAAGGTTTTGCAGGTTTTCAGATCTATTGTGTCCTTAACATTAACATAATAGTAAAACCTGTAGCCATCTGTGTAGTGCATTTTTAATCTAATTTGCAACAGTACTTAAAACCCGTTTAATGTTCTGTCAATCAATGTACAGTAGTTTTATCAGATGAAAGTGATGCGAAAGGTGATGGTGAAGACACTCAAAAGCGTTACTACTTTCGACAGAGAAAAACTGTTCAGCGCTATCAAGCTCCGATGGCAAGTACGTTATATGCATAGTTCCTCTTCAAGCTAACTTCTTGCATATGAGTGAGGTTTTTTGGAGTGAAAATATATATATACACACACTCCTATTTACAATTCTTACCTTCATTCTGCAAGTAACTTCTATTAAGTACATGTATCCTGTGCACATGATCTTTCTTTGCCATTTGTCATACTTACTGTTGATTTTTGGTAAAAAAAATTACCTACATATCCTTTGAAGAACAGTAGTTAAACATACTTGATAATCTTCCCCTTGTGTTCTTCAGTTCTCCTTAAAAAGCAGGTGTGTGTTTTTTCACTTTTACTGTGTACTGATTTAAAAAAATAAAATCCCCTTCCCAAATCACTTGAAACTTCTTCTGAAATTAGAGATGGGTGAAACACCTCATGTTTTCTTCCTCCTTCACTATCCTGCTTTCTCTTAAACTTGTCTGTAACATTGTTCTAAATTCTTTGCTTTCAACAGAACCAAAAGAGCGTAAGATGTATTTTTCAGGCCAGTCACAAGGGTCTTCCAGAAGAAATAAGAGGTTGGTGTATAGTTCTTCTATAGAATAGTGATAGTTCTTTATCAATAGTGCCATCAGTCACATTATTGAATGAAGCTTTCAAGGGTTTCTGCATTGGTGGTAATTACAGGTTAATAGTAGGATTATTGATGTGGTCTGAGGGTATAAAGAGAATGTTGGGGGGGAGGCTATACTTTTTATTAGCCATTAGATTTTTTAAAAAGGGATTTTTACTGATGCTACCTTATCACTGGTAAGGTGATTATGGAGGTTGTGGCTGAGATTGTGGAACTGAGATTCTTTTATTGTGGAATTGAAGCCAGAATATCTGTCTGAAAATCATGGACTATTTAATCTTGAGGGATACAAATTATTTTCTTAAAATTGAAGATAATTGAGTTAGAGGGAGAACCTGTATGGAAATTTTAATTTTTTGTTGATCACCCAAATACTGATTCCTCTCTGGAATCAGTTAATTTTTCCATAAGAAACTATTCTTAAACAGGAAAAATGCTAAATGAGATTATAAATTGCAATAGTATTGACAAAGGGATTTTGGATCCTGTAACCAGTTAAAGCATGGAGAATGGGGTCTCTTGCTAGATAGGAAGTACTTTGTTTTGCATCCTTGAAAGCAGACAGTTATGGAAGGAAGGGGTTTTGAAGCCAAATTTTTAAATAAATTAAAAAGGATTATGTTTCCCAGAGTGGATACATAATGCTAAGTGAAATTCTGTTTGTGTGTGTGAGAGAAAGATTGGATAAAATGAGTAATCTGTTTATGAAATTTTGCAAACTGGTTAAACATTTTACCTTCCAAAGAAAAACTAAATTTTGCTGTCACAAAGAAAGTCATATAATGTAACTTGAAATCATATTCATAAGAGTGAAATGATCTGGAAACTTAATAGATCTCAAAGTAAATTCTGAGATAGAATTCACTTAGATTTCGGTATGACTTAGTGCGTACTTCAGTTTTGTTACTTGCTTGTTTCAATGTATGCAGACGGAGACAGGCAGTCCACGACAGTGATTCCTCATCCTCGTCCGTGTCCTCGTCATCGTCCTCGTCATCTGAAGATGAAGAGCAGTTTGACAGGCATAGGAAGAACAACCGTAACAGAGATTTAAGAAGGTTAATGAAATTGGAGAATCTGGGAGGAGTTTGCATCTGCCTAACTGTGAAATGTTATCCTCTTCCTCTTGTACACTTTCTAAACTGTCGCAGTATCTAATCACATCTGTTGGTAGTGACGACTGTAACTGGACTCTCTAAAACTGGATTTTTAGAATTGATTTTTAATAAGCAATCTGATCTCTAGGTGGGAATGGCGGGAGGAACGCTTTTATATCATGTTTTAATTACTGAGCTTTACAGAGGTTTATTCAGAAAGAAAACCACTGTAACAAAAAAAGTTAGAGGAAATGACAGGTTTTGTTAAATAACAAATGTTCTAGAAGAGCTATTTTAATGACAGTCTAACAGATAAGTTTTCAGCCTGATGTCTGTCAGGTGTGTGTCTTCTGGCATGTATATCCCAAAGTCCTCAGCAAGTACCAGCAGTGGTGGGCAGCCTTCATCATGTTAAGCCACACTGAAATAAGTATCCCCTTGGGCTGTAACTTTCTGAATGTAAAATCTTTAAAAGATGTTAGTGTATTTTAGGGGATTCTTCCATCACACGAGTCAAGGTCAGTTCATGGTCTCCACGTACAGCATAGCTGTTTCTTGCATTCATACTGGCGTGGATATTCATAAGTGCTAAGAGTTGTTAAAATAATTAATGCTTTAATGTCTGGAGTGACCATTTTTCTTTATTTACTTATGGATATTAAATGTAAACCCATTTGAAGGGACATTTAACTATTTAGGAAGTTTATGGTAATTCGTGAGGTTTTTGTACATTCACTGCCCATCATTATAAAAGCAAAAATCTTCTAGCTGCATCCTAAGGTAGAAAGCGCCTTTCTCTTTCTCCTTAATTCAAAACAGGTGTCTTCCACTAAACTTTGGGAAAGATATGTTGAAGAGAATTCACAAGGATCAAATGAAAATTGGAACAGGTCTGTCTGATGGTGATCCAACGCAAACAGATTGTCTGGTAAGTATAAAATAGTTCATTGTCTCAGTGAGTCGTTTACAGGGCTTATAAAAGCTTTCAATAATGTGCTGTCTACAACTACCTTGGTTAACAGTTTTTTCTCAAGCAATTTGAAACTGCCCAGAATGTTACCTTTGTGCTGACATGTGATTTCTGATGGAATCTTATTGAGGGTGCAGCTTTCATTAACATGCAAAAATGTATTCTACTGAATTTATTTTTAGGTACGATTTGATGGTGTGGGTGGTCTTTCTGACCACATTGCAGCTTTAAAAGAGATGGTCATCTTTCCACTGCTTTACCCAGAAGTCTTCCAGGGATTGAAAATTCAACCGCCAAGGTAACAGACATTGATTAAAACTATAATTCACTTGTTTTCCGTAGAACATTTGATTGAGGTATCAATATATTTACATGCTTCAAAATTTTCAGTGATGTTGATGGGGATTTTAGCAGTAGCAAAAAGTAATTTCTTGAAAATGGATAGTATCCAGAATACATGTGGGCTCAAAGATTTAGTTTTTGGTGAGAATACACTTTAAAGGTGTCTTGCCTTTAAAAGGTGGGGTTATGTTGTTTTTGAGCGCTATGTACAAGTCAACTTAATTAGTTTACAAGCAAGGAGGAGTTACTGGTAGTTGTGTGTTGCTTGAAAGTCCACTTGTCTCTCCTGATGACTCTTTGGTTGTTTGGGTTTTTTTTCAAGTGCTCCAGTAGCAATTTTATAATTGATAAGACTTGCAACCAGAACCTTGCAGTATGTGTTTGTGCTCAGGCTAAAATAAGAATGTGTCTGTTTATACAGCTAAATTAGTTCTGCATTATGAGATTAAATTATTAGAGATTTAGTTGTTAGCTTTATATGCTCTTGGTCAGCAAAACTCGATCATGGATATTGAAATATGACTTTAAATTCTTCACTTTCAGGAACTTAAAACTATTGCAAATCATCAAAATAAAATCTCTCAGTGTTTTGCTTCTTTCTTCATTGGAATTCTCTTTGAAAGAGCAGTGTATTCGTTTGTTTAGATGAAGAGTATGTATATCTGTAAATGCAGAATATCCTCCCAGCTTTAGAGTTCCTCCTCATTTATCATCAGCAATGGATGGTCTGGGAGTCCAAATCCAGCAACTTAAAGCTTTTTGAAGGAGAATGAAATGCTTTACTACCAAATCTTGATTCTTGTGAAAACAAGAACGAATATGTAGTGCGTCCCTAAAAAATGAACTGGTTGGTCATTCATCTTAGAGACCAGTCTCATCCTTCACTGAAGTTTGTTCTTGTTTGGCTCCACTGTGCTGTAACCACCCCTGTTAGTTTGTCACCAGTTTTGGAAGTGTGCTTGTGGAACACTATGATCTTTTCTCAAGGTTTTGTACATCTGTGTTATACTCTTTATTCATTTTGTTTGCTGCCTTGTTGAATTGTGCAGAAACACAAAGCTTCCATCCAATTTGTCTTTTCTCACACTTCAGCTGTTAACACTGTTGTACAGATGAAGCCTTTTATTTAGGAGAGAAGAGTTGTGCGTTTTAGGGATGGGGGTTGTAATGGGTTTTTTCTTAAATCTTTTTTTTTTTTTTTTTTAATTGCAGAGGCTGCCTATTCTATGGTCCACCAGGGACTGGGAAGACACTGGTGGCTCGTGCACTTGCTAATGAATGTAGCCAAGGTGACAGGAGAATAGCCTTTTTCATGAAAAAAGGTGCTGACTGCCTGAGTAAATGGGTGGGTGAATCTGAACGAGAGCTTCGTATGTTATTTGATCAGGTAAGGTTGAAATGTGCTATGTGTTCTGAGTTGTAACTCTAATTTTCTGTGGTATTTTTAAGAACAGTTCACTCTTTTTTTGTTTTGTCAGTTCCTTCCACTGAAATGGGATTGCCAGTGTTTCCTTTTTCAGTGGGTTTTTTTAGGGTTTGAAATCTTGAGGTGTACTGTGAAAGATTAATAAACAAGAAAACCTCGCAAAGCAAACATCCACCCTCTGCCACAAAATAAAACAAACTTCCCCCCCCAGAAAAAAAACCAACCACAAAAAGGGTTTCAAGAGGCAAGAGATATGAATCATAGAACAGAATCATTCAGGTTGGAAAAGACCCTTGGGATCATCGAGTCCAACCATCAGCCCTACTCTACACAGTTCTCCCCTACACTGTATCCCCCAACATCTCATCTAAACAGCCCTTAAACACATCCAGGGATGGTGACTCCACCACCTCCCTGGGCAGCCTATTCCACTGTCTGACCACTCTTTCTGTGAAAAATTTTTTCCTAATGTCCAGTCTAAACTTCCCCTATTGGAGTTTAAAGCCATTCCCCCTTGTTGTGTTACTAATCACCTGTGAGAAGAGACCAGCACCAACCTCTCTGCAATGTCCTTTCAGGGAGCTGTAGAGAGTGATGAGGTCTCCCCTCAGCCTTCTCCTCCTCAAACTGAACTGTCCCAGCTCCCTCAATCTCTCCTCATAGGATTTGTTCTCCAGGCCCTTCACCACCTTCGTTGCCCTCCTCTGCACTCGCTCCAGCACCTCAATATCTCTCTCGTATTGAGGTGCCCAAAACTGGACACAACACTCCAGGTGTGGCCTCACCAGTGCAGAGCACAGGGGGACCATCACCTCCTTATGATATGGTGGCTTTAGATCAGAGGGAGAAAGATACAGGCTAAAAGCACGGTCATTTAAATTCATAATGGAAGCTTGCTTCCAGAACCTGTAATTGAATTGCTCTGTTCTCAGTTGCCAAAGAGCTGTAAAAAACACTGGTATGATTTGTTTCCTGTCACCCAGTCTCAGGGGGCTGACATAGGCTGCTGTCTTCTGTTACTCATGGCACTTACTCCATTAGCTCAATTAGTAGAGATCCCTGATGCTAGTCTGAAGAATCTAGTTCTAGTGACCTTCCAACCATAATGTTTTTCATGCATTTTCTCTTTAAAATAGTGCTGGTTTACTTCTGTCAATATTCCTGTGTTTTCATTCCAGGCCTACCAGATGCGACCCTCAATTATTTTCTTTGATGAGATAGATGGTCTTGCTCCTGTGAGGTCCAGTAAGCAAGACCAAGTTTACAGGTAGTACATTTTTTGTACCTACATAGAAACTGCTTGATCTTTGTGAAGAAATCACAACCTATTTAACTTTGTGACACATTCATTTATCCTGAAAACTAGTAATACAGTGCTACTAAATTTCCGTTGATTTTTAAACAATAGTTGGAAACAATTCACTAAGCTTGAGATCAGCACAGGGCTTGTGTTACCTTATCTATTTTTTGTATGTCTTAAAATGAGTCACTAATCTGTTAAAAATCAATTAAAAGCTTATCCTTTTGAGGTGATCATTGGAGAAGGTCATGTAGAACATAACAGAATTTACTAAACCAGTGAATTAAAATTATATTTTCCTGTTAGCTCTCTTGTTTCAACACTTCTGTCACTCATGGATGGCTTAAACAGCAGAGGAGAGGTTGTGGTAATCGGAGCCACCAACAGACTGGATGCCATAGATCCTGCTTTACGAAGACCAGGACGCTTTGATCGAGAGCTCCTCTTCAGCTTGCCAAATAAAGAGGTAAGAACTTAAACTCAGTCTTAATGCTAATGTAGCAGAGTCCATCTTTATAACAAAACCATGTAACAATGCAGTATCACGGAGCAGTTAAAATCAAAACCAGTATTGTACAACTTGGACAAAAGAGGGATATCTGGAGAGACTGTCTTGTACTGTGGAGGGCAGATCTGATACTGAATATTTATGATTAAGATGACTTCACCAAAGTTCTGTAATTAGTTCTGGTTTCACTGTGACCAGCCAAGAAAATGGGATGCTTCTATCAAATGTTTAAGAAAGATTGAATGTATGAATTAGTTACAAATTACTGCTATCTCATCTTGGAAATGAAAGAAATGGTGTGCACACAAGAATTTCATTTTTTATAACAAAAACTTTAATCAGGGTGCAGGAGTGAATGAAAATTTCCTGTTCCCAAAGCAGTTCATGCTTGCTTACTTATTTAATTCACTTGGGCACTTTCACCCTGAAGTGTTCTTGCTCTTGGTTTGTGAAGGAGCAGCTCTTCCTGTGTTGGATTGTTCCCAGGCTGGGTATCATGGGAGACACCTCTGAACATTTGGGGATTTTGCGTTCTTCCTGGTACTTATTAACAGGGATTTGGACAAAGGGGTGAAGGACGCTGCAGGTGGAGGGCTTGGGAAGCTTCTAGCTTAATGGTGATAGCTAAGCAAGGAAAATATTATAGCAACCAAATAATAATAATATCATTCTAATTATATTATAATTATTTAATTGCAATATTATAGCAACCAAAACATATTGAAGGGGTGAAGACAGCGTGCAAAACTGGAACGCTGGTTTTATGTTTTCCCTCTGGCTGTCACTGACACTTCTTTTATTAGTGCTTTTTGGAAAAAGGATAAAACACTTACTGGATTGAAGGCTGGTGAAAGTGCACTAAACAGCGTATTTAAAACAAACATTTGTTTCCATTTTTTATCTGCTTTCAGCAACAGGAGAGGGGGCACCATGAAACAGATCAAATATGTTACTCCCTACTGTGGAAATCTAGAAAACTGCCCTAATTAATCTGTGTACCAGGAAATACTTAAAGTCTTGCTAATTGGAGATGAGGATAGGCAACATTTGACACTTTCTGGATCAGTGACAGTAGTTTGAGTCATAATTATTATTTGTTACAATTGTAGCAATTTGAAATGTTGTGCTAGGACTGTTTTCCTTGAATGAATCTGCAGAAAAGCAAATCTGATGAACTAGTGAGACTGTCACCATGAAGTTTTGCTGAATTTGAGAGAATTTTCTCTGGTCAAAAATCTCTGTTTGCAAATAATATATTTATTTTTTTGCTACAGATTCTTCCTTAGGATTATTAGATCTTATACTTGTGGAAACTTACTTTTTATGGAAGCTATAAATGCATTTGATTTCACTGCAGACCCCCAGGAAGAGATGAATGTAACAAGTTGAGAATGATTAAATATTGTGCTTGAAAAAGCAGAGAGCATATTAACTGAAGTTTAAAATTCTTAAAAGTTTAGTAGAGAATTATTTGTATTATTGTGAGGTTTTTGGGGGGGTTGTTCTGTGGTTTTGAGGGTTTTTTAAAGAAAAAACTTGGGACAAACTAAAAGGCAACCATTCTGTTTCCAGTCTAGAAAAGAGATTATAAAAATTCACACACAAGGCTGGAACCCTAAGCCATCGGACAGGTTTCTTGAAGACCTAGCTGAAAAATGTGTTGGTAAGTATGAAAACTAAGTGAGTTACTGTATGTGACTGAGTCCCAAGGAATCTGGGCTTGTGTCAGGCACTATCCCAGCTCTTGTGCCTTGCCTACAGAGTGAGGCGGTGAGGCAACTGGCACATCTTGGGAACAAATAAATACGAAGTCAGATGCTTCTTTTCTTTTGATTTTATTTTGTCTGTCAGAACGTTGAATGGGGTTTGGGCATCTTCCTTGGGAGCAAAGTTTTGACTGTGAGGCTGCTTCATAAGTGCAGGATATCAAGCTGCAAGCCACATAACAAAATTTCTCCACAGTGCAGTCACTCTAAATTCTCTCTTAACCAGTTAATGTTGGGCTGTATACAAAGTCTTTCAGGGTTGCACTTTAGAAACCTTGGCCTTTACTTCTATGTTGCCTGAAACTGACCTAACATGTGATTCTTGTTTTGTTTATTAGGATACTGTGGTGCTGATATTAAATCGTTATGTGCTGAAACTGCCCTCTGTGCTTTGCGCCGCTGCTATCCTCAGATATACAAAAGTGATGAGAAACTGCAGTTAGATATCAATTCTATCAAAATAACAGCAAAGGATTTTGTCGTGGCTATGCAGAAGATTGTTCCATCTTCACAGAGAGCTGTGACTTCACCTGGGCAACCACTACCCTCTATTTCAAAACCACTGCTTGAAAACACGCTAGCAGAAATTTTACAAGCCTTACAGAAAGTATTTCCGCATGCAGAGATTGCACTAAAGAAGAACCAACAGCAAGGTATAGCAAGAACATCCACTTTAATATTCTGCCAGGGCAAAAGTTCTGGCTTGTGCAATCAACATAGGCAAACCTCTCAGCTGTAACCGTAGTAGAATGTTATAATATGCATGTGCACAGTGCTGCATGGGAGCTGTGAATTACTTGTTTGGAATAGAGCGCTGTGTGTTCTCTGCTAGAGCACCCTGTTTCTGCCAGTAGCTAACATGGTATTTGTAATTTCTAGAGATGGATCTAAAGTTTAATGTATGGGGCGCCTCTTTAAAAATAAATGTTTAAATGAGGAGACAAGGGTATTTTTACATGAATGCTTCTAATTCCTGTCTGAAGAATGTCAGGACCACAAGACAAGGGGTTTAAGCTAAATACTGGTTTAGGTGTCATGACTTTTAACCACAGTCTCTGAATTGAAATGTTTGTGGATCACACTTGTACACTTGCACATGAGATCAGAATGTTTTAGGAGTGGATACTTCAGGGCTTGGCTTGCGTAGCATATGTCACCTCATGCTCCTGACTGTATCAGCCCTGATCAGGTTTAGTCTGTCAGTTGGTGTGAGCAAGTAAATGTATCAACTCACTCCACTCCTGATTAATGGAAATTTGTGAATAGTTAGTTGTTGTGCTCATTCCTGGAGAATATTCCACCAGTATTGCTCCCAGTAGATCTGGAAGATGTATTTGCATTGGGAAAACAGAGGCAAAACTCCACCAGCCAAATCAAAGCAGAGAGGCTCGGGGATTGGTAATTGCATTCTCTCTCTGCTGCCCGCTTTACCTTAGCTCCTCCTTCAGTGATCTGCAAGGAGCCGTATTTAGTAGGTTATTATATTCTGACTTACTAGTCTGAGACAAATGGAAGTCTGTGGCCATCGCATTCACTTAATTGCTCCATATCCAGTGGAGGAACGTCCTCCAGAAAGAAGTAGCCTTGTTGGGTTTTTCACATGTCTAGGAACTACAGAAGTTGTTCCTAATCGTCTTTATTCTAAGGAAAAAAACCTCCAAGTTTTCACCAACAGAGGGATAATAGCTTACGCAAATCACGGGATGTAGGACAGCTTTGTAGAGACTTGTGCAGTCTCCTTAGATCTGTGGTAGAATGAACTCCAGAAAATAGCTTTCAGCATGTGCCCTCAAATACAAGTGGTTTCCAACACTGATTTAGAAGCTTGATTAATGGATTCATGTGATATTGAGCGATGGACTATTCAGGAAAGTTAACATACTTATCTTTCAGACAGTTTAAATAATATTGTAAGAGATGATGTGATTGACAGCGGTGAGGAATTGCCATCAATCTTTGAAGACAAGCCAACTCATAATATGCCTGGTAGACAAAAGGAAAGCCTCCTCACTTTCAGCAGGTAAATGTTTATCCCCTTTACGTTTACATTTTGAAGATGGCTGGGTCTGTAAAGAGTTTTGATGTGAAGGGTGGTAGATGAAGGAGTAAAGTGTGTGTGTGGGGGGGTGATCAGTCTTTGCAAGAAGTAAGGGTGAAGATCCAGCTGGGTACTAACGTTCTAACGGAGTACACTGTCATAACCCATTAAACTGAACGGCCCAGCCCTCTTTTCCCAAGTCAGTGGTCTACAGACTATTAGAACATGATTTAACCCATGGTATTCCTTGAAAGACTCAAGACCAGAGAAATGTGCTGTCTGTCCTTCTAGCTAAAAAACTCCTATGGATTTGTGTAGCCATCTTTTGACCTTCTACCTTCTAGGAGTGTTAAACCAGTAGCAAATTATGTAGCGGAAACAAAATTGAGAAATGGCTCGTTAAAACACTGTGAGAAAAACTTAAATGATGTCCACATTTTGTAACTTTCACCTACTAAATTGATGTTAATCTTTTGACATTTTACTGTGGAGGTCGTATAAGCCAACAGTTGAAAAAATAGATTCCTGTCATTGCTGTAGGGTCAGGTTTTTTTCTCACTTTCTGTCACTGTGCTGTCCAGAAAATCTTTGGACTTGCTGAGCTTGGTTAGGTCTCTAGGATCTTTGACTTCACCCCATAAAGGTGCAACAGTATTGGGGTGGAAAAAGCAAACGCTTTTCACAAATGTGTTTTGTGGGAGTAAAGCAACATGACCAGGAAATTAATGCACAATTCAAAGTGAAACAATTAGAGTGGCTGAATAAAACAACTGTGAATCTTCTACATCTTCAATATACCGCTGTAATTTAACCGATCCAACTGTACTTGAGATAACAGCTAATGTGTTTCAGTGCCCATGTTAATTTTTTTTCTAAAAAAATGGTTCTGCCCCTTCCTTCCCACAATGTCCAGTAACTATGGCCAAATTTCAGCTAAACTCGACAGATATAGAGATCTCACAGTTACTTAAACCCAAGACCTATTGAGAATTGGTGCATATGGGTGGTGAAGAGATCCAGACTGGTGTGTGCCGAGAGTTGTTTTCCCCCATATCAGGTTACTGATGAGTTGTCGTGTGTATTGAGCTGGACAGTCCCCCTGTGGAATTTAAGAGCTGGTACTTCACTGAGTCCAACGAAGAGCAGACATGCTGGGGATTGGCAGGTTTTCTTAGGGGAAGTAAGGTACCAGTTTGTAATAAAATGGGCTGTGATGGTCTTCCTGATCACAAGCCAGCTTCTTATTTGCTTGAAAATGGAGAGTATTTACCAAAAGAAAAAAGTGCATAGGAAAAAAACTTTAACATCTGTGTGCCTATTCGTCCCTTCATTTTTAAACTTACTTTCTTCTTAATGTTCTAGAAATGCTTATTATCAGCCAACATCTTGCAGGCCACGGTTCTTAATAACTGGAGATTCAGGATATGGGCAAGCTTCTCATTTGGCACCTGCAGTAATACATGCCCTGGAAAAGTTTCCAGTTTATGCACTAGACCTAGCTGTTTTGTTTAGTAGCATCACATCTCCAGAAGAAACATGTGCACAGGTATCTGTTTCCTCTTTAATCTCCTAAAATACATGAACTGTATGTAAACGAGTAAAGTAAGCAAAATTCATTGTTAATGGAGTTGGCCTGGCTAGAATGTGCTGTTATGTTTACTTTTGTCTGAAAATCCGCTTTTCTTCTAGATCAGATGACACTGACTAAGGGTGTTGTACATGCCCATATTTTCCATTTCAAATTAAACAGCAAGGATGTTGTTAGCAGCTGGGGAAGATGGGAGGTGCTGCTAATAAACCTCTCCTTATGGCAAGGAATCCTGCCAGACTTGGTGGGATCCAGAAAGTTGTTTTCATTGCTGCTTAAGACTCTGTGCTCCCAGGAGATGGCTCTGCACCAGCCTGACTGTTTGTCGTGCACTTTCTGTAGCCACCTTTTATATGGGTAAAGTAATTGAGGTTTTAGGGAAGTGTTTCTTTTTTATACATATACAGCTGCCCTGCTGCAGTATATGCAGTAAAAGCATTAAAATTCATGGAACACTTGCATTGGTACTATGGTGTGGGTTCTTAACTAGGAAAATTAAATGTAAGCAGATTTAGCACTGCTTTACATTTTACTTCTAGGCAGGAAATCCATTTCATTGTTTGACATCACTGTATTAAAATATTCTGACCTTTAATAGCAGCTTTTCAGAGCTGTACAAGTAAGGACAGACACATTACACGGCCAGATATTTAGTCGCATAAGAGGAGCAATTCCTTTCTTGTTATGTGATGGTTGCATCTGAAGTCCTATAACCAGCATGTCTAGTCACTGCCCGGATATACCACATGCACTTCTCATCTTGTGACAGGAACTCCCAGAATACTGATAATCTCAAAGGGTGCACAGAGAAATTTGCTATGTGAAAGGACTGTTACCACTCTCCTCATGCAGTAGGTGCATGTCTTCCTTTGTGGTTGAGGTACTACCTGTAGGCAATGGCTTGTGATCTTTCAAAGCATTGTGATCTGGTCTGATGGATCCTTCGGTAATGAGAGGCTGTGCGTGACTGAGCTATTCAGGAGGCTAAAGAGAGGTCACAAATCTTACAAAATGTACTTGAAATCATGAATTGTAACCAGGCCTCTTCTACAGTCTCAGCCCTCATCTTCTCACATAGGTCTTTGTTCAGACTCTGCTCCAGGCTGGCTTGGATATGTGTCCACTCTGAACTGAAAATGGTGTCGCTGCAGTCATGTAGCGATTTACCCAGACTAATACATCTTGCTGAAGGGTTAGTCTTGTTCTCCTGCTAGTCTTGGGCACACCACCACACCAGCTGAGTTGTGAAACTCTTTAGGAGTTATCTTATGCCTAGGTAGTTTTGAAATCAGTCAGAAATTCAGATCTGGTTCTATCTGTGTAGCAATGTCTATATTTGAGTCAAAGTGAAACTTTAACCTTCTTGTTAAGAAGTTGTTCTTTTGCTGGTTTGTTTTCATGTTTTGGCTTCATGTACTCCTCTTTCATAAGATAGTTTGACTGATACGTGCTCATTAGCCTATTCTACATGGTTTAGTTTTCTCATCCAAGCTTTTCTTTTACCAGCTGATGCGGGACGCTCAGAGAACAGCACCAAGTATCATTTACATCTCACATATCCATTGGTGGTGGGAGGCTGTTGGACCTACATTGAAAGCTACTTTTATAACACTACTGCGGAACATTCCAGCATTTGCTCCAGTTTTGCTGCTTGCAACATCTGATGTGTGTCATTCAGATCTCCCGAAGGAGGTATTTCTGTTGATATTTGTCTTTTTTTTTTTTTTTTAATTCACTTTCTTGTTAATTGATCAGTCCTTTAAGAACTGGCATACTGTGCCCTGTTAAGCAAATTTACACTGTTAGTACTCAGGCACCCTAACCAAGTCTCTTAAAATTTGCTTAGATAAAACAATGCTGAAGGCATTTGTGTAAAGTGTTTTCTGAGTAAAGAGATTGACTTTGACCCAAATTTTCTGCCTTCTCGCACGTTCATGCTTATTAGACAGATGTATAAATTTACTTCAGATCATAATTCCAGTGACTTCTAGATAGTTAGGTATGTTCTTAGTCAAGAATATACAGTGTTTGCCATGTAAATGGAAAAAGATATTTTTACTGAAAACACTTTTACTGAAAATGAAAGATGTTTTTACTGAAAAAATAGTGGTCACACCATTAATGACAGAATGTCATTTCAAATTTAAATACCTCCATAAAAATTTCAATCTCCATGTAAGTGAAAGCTTTACAAATTAGAAAGCTATGTTCCAACTTTAAGTAACTTGGTAGTCGATTTCCACCTGTATTCCTTAACACAATTCAGTAAGAATACATGCTTAGCTTTCTAGACATCTGAGAGTGTGCATTAAAGAAAGGTGCTCCAAATGTGAATATGCTGCTCTGATTATTTTGTCTCAGTTACTGGGGTGGGGGAGGTGTGTTTGCTTAGCTAGATGGGTTTACCATCAAAGGCTTTGAAACGGTTTAACTTTCACAAAAGTTTTTAAGCTGTTAATAAATTCCTTCTAAAATAAGTATTGAAATTCCTTCCATACCTTTTGGTAGTAGAGATTGAAAAATGGGAGTAAAACTTGGAAGTATGCAACTTCAGACACCTAATTGAAATTAATTTTCAAAAAAAACAAAACACCTTACCAAAAAGCCTGCACTCATCTGCTGAACCCTGCCCATTCCTTCTGTAGTTGCCATAAAGATTCAAACTAAAGGACAGCAAGGCAGGTAAATGCAAAATCATCAGTCTTGGAGGTGGTGAATGTCACTGCTTTATCAGTGTGTCATATGGTCCCTTTGCTGGGCTTGAGCTCTAGGGGAGTTCCTTAGAGAAGATACGTAATTTGCTGTGCTAACCTCTGAAAATCTAGCCTTTTAAGGCCAAGAAGATAACTTTTTCACAGTTTGTCTTACCTAGATGATTATTTGGTCTAATTTAGAAAGGTACTCATCTTTTTGGAAGAGAATATAAACTTGTGTGGCCTTCTATCTGTAATATCTTTTCTCCTCATGCTTCAGATAAAAGACTTGTTTACTAATGATTATGAAGTTTTCCAACTCCACTTGCCTAATAAGGACAAAAGAAGAAAGTTTTTTGAGGACTTAATTATAAATCAAGCTGCTAAACCTCCTGCATCAAAAGACAATGAAGGTGAGGATATACTACATATAAACCTTTGCTAGCTGTAAGTTAATAGGTACACAGTATTTGCTGTGGTGGTAACTTTCTATCAATAATTTTCCATATGCTTGTGTTTGAGTACCATAAATTTAGTAGAAGTTTCTGATTGATTTAAGCTTGTCAGCCACTGGAAGAACTGCCGGAAGAACTGCCTGTAGCACCGCCGCCTAAGCCTCAAGAGCTGACAGAGGAAGAAATAAGACAGACAGAGGAGCAGAATGAGGATATGTTGCATCAACTTAGGGTTCTCTTACGGAATGTGACTCACAGACTTGCCACTGATGGACGTTTCAGAGCATTTACAAAGCCTGTTAACCCAGGGGAGGTAAATGACTGTTGTCCTTTAATACCATTTTATCCGTGTGTATTCTTCATTTCTCTCTGTGTATTTCTCAGTGTTTGTGTTCTCTCTATAGGAAGGTTTATCTTTGTTTTTAGGACCATACTGTTCTGGTCTTTCAAGAAGCAGCAAGTGAATTTTGCTTTTGCTGACTCCTTGAGGCTCTCGAGTGTCTGTTACTTGACTATTCACTGAAAGCCCTGGGTTTCTTCTAAAATGCCTTTAGAACTTTAGAATATTTTAGCCAAAAGGGACCTACAGCAATCATCTAGTCCAACTGCCAGTTAGACCAAACATCAACACAGTTTGCTCATTAAAAGGCTTTGACATGTAGGCGTGTTACAGCACTGAAAAGCAGAGGTCTCTTTCTTTATTCAAAACAGTATCTATAGGACTGTTTCAGTAAATTCTAAAGCTCTTTCACTGACTGTTGGTAGTTTCTGTGAGAACAGGAGTAGAAGCAGTAGTTTTAAAATAAATGTTAAGAAGATTCTATTCTCCGTTTCATCTGGGGCTCCTCAGTATGAGATCAACCATAAGGGCTGTGTGGTTTCTTCTTCCTCCCATACGCTTCTTAGTCTCTTTCTCATTGAATTTATTGAATAAGCCTAAGCCAGGGGCATATACTTCCATGTCAGCTGTAGTTTTAATAGAGCTTTGTGTTTCAGCAAAGTCCTGCTCCCCTAAGCATCCACTGACTTGTTTTTCCCTTTACTTCTAGTTTCCGAGATGTGAATAATCTAAGCAAACGTAGATGTCCTCACCTAAACTAGTCATTAGGCTCCTTTTATGGTCTGAGAAAAGAAATCAGCACCTCTGGGTCCAGTTAACTCATTCTAAAGTAGATGTCTAGGACAGATGCTTCAAAGGTGTAATTCCTGCAGCCTTTTTCTTGCCTCCAACAACAAAGAGAATCTTAGGTGGCTTCACTGAGAAAGGTTTCTTTGCTGTGATTTTCTGAAGCAAAGTGAAATGAATCCCACTCTGGGTGTCTGTTTTCTTCCCTGCCCCACACAGGCTTCTGACCTCCCTGCTGCTTTCTTTCCCTCTTCTGGTCTGTTTCTTCAAAGCCAGTTGAAGTAGCCCTTCTATTTTCCAGAAACGAACTTTTTGATTTCTGTTTAATCGGATGTGTCATAAATATATGGGGTTTTTACAAAGTACTTTAGTTGACTTTATTAAAATAATCAATTTTGGTAGACAATGTGTTAAATCTCTGAGCATGTTTATTTCATTTGTAGGCATCTGATTATGCCAGAGTTATTAAGCAGCCCATGGACCTGTCGACCATTCTTTCTAAGATTGACTTGCACCAGTACCTGACTGCAGAAGATTTTCTAAAAGACATTGATCTAATCTGCAGCAATGCTTTAGAGTATAACACAGATGAAGATCGTGGAGGTGAGGATGTGTTTTTATCCTGGATTTGGAAAAATTTAAAATTTATAAATTGATAGATGTCATATGTGGGATTAGATCCTTTTAAACACCCACAGAAAGCGTTTCTTGCCAGGTTGCCAGTGTTGTAGCGTGGAGCTACTTGGGCATGAAATGGCGATAGAAGTGTTGATCAGTAACTAGTGCTTTTGCTTTAATAATTAACTCTTACGCGGGGTGTGTGTGTGTATGTATATATATATATATATATATATATATATATATATATATATAATCAAAATAAAAGATTTCATTGGCTGGTAGAAAATACTCAGTTCTGACTGTAAAATTTCAGGTTGCCTCATTAGGCACAGAGCTTGTACTTTGAGAGATACTGCATACGCCATAGTGAGGGCAGAACTGGACAAAGATTTTGAACAATGCTGTGAGGTGATTAAAGAATCTCGTAAGGAAAGAGGTATGGTTTTTGATGCTAAGGACTTTAATACTTGTCTTAGTATTTGTGACCAACAATGCAAGACACAATTCTTTGGTCTGTTCTTTCCTGCAAGGTTGTAGCTCTTCAAAATATACTCCATCTTACTGCTGTGCAATGCCAAAGCAGAACTCTGTTCCTGGGTATAAGGAAACAGAACCAAAGTGTAATGAAAAAATGAAGATGCCAGCAGCACCTATAAATTCCAGTACTCCCTGCTCTAAAGGCAAGTTGCATTTTATTCAGACTTTCTTGGAGACAGTGTTAAAGTCAACAGTACCTTCTCTGTTCTTGTCACATAACAGGTTTCTGTGATGCCTGGTTCTTCATGCCAGAGTCATCATATTTTTTAACTTGCTTCAAAATATGAGATAAATCCAGAGATCATTCATTCAGTATGGTTATGAAGGTCAAGTACAGTGGTTAGTTTACATTGTAAGATACTGGTCTTGATGGCCCAACTGACATGTAATGGCTCCTAAATTGCTACCTCTTGAAGTCAGAAATGTTGTACCTGGCAGTTGCTGAAAAATCAACTAGTTCTTAGTTATGTAATACAGCATTTTTCCCTTCCCTGCCTGGAAATGCTAAACTCTATGCTCTCTCTTCCTGTGATTTCCAATTGAAGGGGGAAAGGGGAAAAAAATAGGGGAGCAATCATGATAGATATGTAAAGGAAAGATCATGATTTCCTCACTCTTCCTGTGAAAAGGACATGAAAGAATAAAGGGACTTGGGTGTCTCTGTTAAAGCACGTGACATAGTGTGAAGTTTCCTGGTCTCACTGGCATGACTGAGAATTTTGCCATTGACTTCACCCATATGCTTTGAGCAGTACTCCCTGAATACAAAGAATGGTGGCTTTTTCTGGAAGGCAAGAATGTGAATTATGTTTTAAACAAGGTTAACTGAATCAGAAAGTGTATGAGGCATGTGTTTACAGACAATGTTTTCTCCAGCAAATATTCCCTTAGAATTGTCTCTTTAACTCTGCCCAATACACATTTAGCTTTTGAAGTTTACAGCTTTAAAACGGATTTGAAGAAGGGATTGTCTCCAAACGCTTTTCTGTTTATCTAGATTAGTTCACGTTGTAAGACAGTAAGCAACTTCACCTAATAACCTTGCTTTGCAGTAATACTTCCTATCAAAAGTAAGAATTTTCTGCTCATAAAATATTGAAGCTGATGGGTTTGTGAAAGGAAAAATCTAATAGCAAATTGACCTCCTTAATTTGCAACTCTTTCTCTAGACACATGTAGGGAGACAGACAGTGGTACTTGAGCTTCTTTGATCATTTTCCTTGTAAGTCAAGTAAGATGAGGATGCTGGATTTTGAAGGAAGAACTGTTTGGGTAACGTTTTGTCTTACTTTTTCTGGTATCTCTTTGTAGGTATATCAAAAAGAAAACGCAAAAAGAACAAAGGCTCTTTGGGTATCAGGGCAAAGAGGAGGAATTTTCAGTTCAATAAAGAGAATAAAGTTCCGGAAGAGCAAAATGAGGTAGAGAGCAGTGAAGAGTCTCCAGAAAAACATGTTTCTAATATGGATCACACTGAAGTTGAGCCCACACAGGATTACTCTGTGGAAGAAAATGAAAATGTACTTCAAGAACGACAGAAAAATGGGAATGAAAATAAATCTGGGGCAGATGATGAGACATTTTTCTTTTTCACAATACCTGCTTTTGAAAAGAAGAGTGTCATGCTTCCTGAACCTTCAGACCTAAGAAAGAACAGTGAAGTGATAGATTGCCAAGTAGCAGAAAGTTTGGAAGAAGAAAATTCAAATGGTAAGTGAAAGGTCAAACAGGTCATGTAGCTCCTTTTTATTCCTAAGAGGGTTACACTACTTAGTAGGATTTGGTCATCTTTAATGCCATTCTGTTATTGCTGTTGTATCTCCCTAGAACCAGCACTCAATGTTTCTTGCATAATGATGCTGCTCCTTTAGTTATGTTAGCCAAACTCATGGGTTTTTGTAGCTGCTGGTTTTTTGATTCTGCAGTGTGTTTTTCAAATGGCACCAAGCTGTGCTTCAAGCAGTGTGGACCCAGAGTCACATGTGCAATAGAAGACGTATGTCCTAAAGTTTGCAATGTAAGATGTTTCCTAGCCTAAATTACTTTGGAAGTTTTACCATGCAGTCCTGTAATGGCAATGTGACTATATTTTTTTCCTCTGCCTTCTTCTGTAGTGCACTTTTTTGTGTCTGAGTTTCTGGTTTTTATGGAGCAGTGACTTTTGCCAGAAAGAAAGTGAAAGTCAAGCATTTCTCAGTGAAAAAATGGTAACAGTTTTGTCTCTGTCATTCCAGAGAGAACTGTATTCCAGGTACAGGATACTTCACTGATACTGTATTCCAGATAAACAGAAATACTGACTTAAGAAATTTGTGTCATTCCAGATTTCTGGGTATGCTCTGTAATTCATGAAAGATATTCTCCGGTAGAAGAGCAGCAGGTGATACATGTCAAGCCATCCATGAGAACTGCCACGCAGCCAGCAATTGTCGATTACCAGGAGTTCACAGTAAGTCTAATTTCTATTTTGTTAATACTGAAGTAGGACATTTTCTTGCTATGAGTACAGTTGCCAATTAAATGCCAATTAAACAATGCCAATTAAAACAATTTATGGGGAGGATATATAGTGTGTGAAATAATTGAACTGGTAATGGGCTATGACTGTTGTGTTTCCACACTTGGTGTAGACTGTTGTTCTTGCTTTTGGTGAACTAAATTTGAGGAAACTGGTTCTCTCCTCATTTTTTTTAGAGGACTTGTTGAATTTTAAAATAGCCCACTGACAACCTGCTGGAACTGTTGGTTAGTAATGTCTTAACAATTTCTATGATGGATTTGGGGGTTTTGGTTTGGTTTCTTGCAGGTTTTCATTTATTAGGAACCTGAAAAGGACCTCTATTTCTACAAGTGATGACTTTAAACCTGAAGTTAACAGGCTGACATAAAGCTCATCATGGCTAAAATAGGAATACCTGCTTTTCTGAAATTCTTTCAAAATCCAGTGTTAGAATTTTGCATTCATAGTTACAGTGTGATAAGGATTTTCCAGTCCCTTGTAGGAGAGAAGTTGCTATCCTAGGCTACAGCTGGGGAAAGGCTTAAAGATGGGCCCAGCTGCAGGGAGTAAAAGAGGTTCCTTAACATGAATTGGAGAGGGTAGAAGAAGGACCTGATTGATCTTCAAGGAATACTGCAGTGAGGAAAATTAAGAAAATGGCTAGGTCGCAGTCCTGGAAGTTGGCCAATGCAGAGGAGGGCTGCTGTTTACCTGCCATGATGAGAAAGGGAGTATTACATGGATATTTCCCCTGTTTGGGAAATTGTGGTGAAGGGGCTTGTCAGCACAGTTCTGTCATGTTTTTAAGCTGTGACTTAATTTGTGGAGGTGAAACTAACTTTTTAAAGCTGGCTTCCTAAACAAGCAGATTTCAGGGAGGAGGTTTTGTTCATGTCTTCCTGTGTATGCAGAGGAGCCACATAGGTTTTTCATAGAGTCAGGGTGCTAATAATGTGCTCCAGGGTTATTGTCCACTTGACAGATGGTAAGTATGATAGAGCCTTTGTATATGTTTCAGCTGCAGGGAGTGACACAGTCATGAAATGCATCTGATGTGAGGCAGCCAGACTTTGATGATGGGCAGTTGTGAGGCAGTAATATTTTCATTTGGTATGGCTGCTCTCTTAAGCTAATCTTCACAGCCTCACACACCACGCAGATACTAAACAACTGCAGCAGGGGAAGAAGGTGCTGCCACTCCCTTGTTCCTGTTGCTTCCCCAGAGATTATCACATTCACATCTTTACCAGAAACAACTATGTGAGAGATGGATCATCTGCTACAGGCAGAGATACTCTACTAGTTTATCCACTCGTCAGTTTAAAGGCAGGAGCTAACGGATCTGACTTTGCTTTCTGATGTGCTTCAGACACCTGAGCAATGTGTTCTGCCAGCAGCTGTAGGCATAGTACACGTTCAGGCAATGGTGAGCCCCTAAGGATGCTTCTGTTTCCAGCTGGCACAGCTGTATCTAGAAGATCCATTTTGTGGTGCCCTGCACTGCAGAAACAGTTTCTCTCATGAAATGCAATGGCGGCTTTGCTGTGGCAGCTACCCTACAACAAAGTGGATTGTGTCATTCCCTGCTGTTCTGGAAGCAGTTGATTCACAGTTACGATTGTTGATGTGATTCATCAGTAATAAAGTATTGTCTGAAATTTAAGCCTTTTTTCTGAAGTGTGGAAAAAAAAAACAAAAAACAAAACTCATTTTCTCCAGTTAAGTCTTGTGAGGTATTTTATCTGTTCTCTGAAGCGTCACTCATTTTATTTAACAATGTAAGGAAGTAGGATGTCACTTGTGTTGTGCTGTTACTGTTTAGCTTCTAAAAACATAAAGAGCCTATGCAAAGGTTCTTGCACTATTCTCAACTTGCTGTTTCCTTTTTTTTTTTTTTTTTTTTTTTTTTTTCAGCAACTGTTGCATTTTGTCACTGTGACAACTGAGAACTTCAGTATATTTCACCTGGAAAAACTCTATGCTGTTCTTAGTCACTGCATTTACCAACATCGGAAAGATTATGACAAAACCAAATTAGCGAAGGTACATTTTTCTTGTCTTATAGCACCTTCCATCACTGTTATGCATGCGTGTGTTATGCACATACATGCACTCTGGACATCACGCTTACTTAGCATGACTCTACTGTCTAGTTACCTGTGTTACAAGACTTTTTCATTTCTGTCTAGAAGACATTTATCCGTATTGCAAAACCATTGTTGTATTTGGCAGAATTGTTGGCAGTTTCAGCAGGAAGAGGCTTGAAGTCAAGGGGTACACCCACACAGCCCCCTCAAAAGCAGTTAACCTCAGTTTGTCAGTAGTGCTTCTCCAGAACCTTTTTAAGGGCGGGGGGCTATGAAAGGAGGGTGCTTTCTCAACCTGTTGCTTCCTCTTTCTCCCCTTATAGGCAGAGGTGGTGATACTTCATATAGCAGTCATTCCATTCTTGAAAAGAAATTAAGTATGAGACATAACAAGAGTTTGAGACTCTCCTATAGTCTCATCTTAACCTTTTTTTAACTAGTGTGACTCAAGCATCTATAATTTGACATAAGGGGTGTTTTCTGCCTATGCTGGTTTAATGCTGAGTCAAATTCTCTGATCTCTTCCTATAAGAGAGGATTTCTGAGTTGTCAGAACTCAGCAGAAACCTTCCAGAGGCACCCATGGTCCCAGTCTGGCATTTCCAGTATCAAATCCATTTAGATAGGTTGGATATTCAGTCTTCAGATTCGAGATTGTTGAATCCAGTTGTCTCTTGAGATGTTTGTGCCTTAGAGAGATAAAATTCTTTATGCCTCTCAGTCTGCCTTAAAGAGGAAGCCTCTTCTCTTTGGTCCTGGTCATCTCAATCTCTTCTTCCACATCTGGTAAAGTTAGAACAGACACCCCATTCTGATTGTGCAACAGTGAGGATTACTTGGATCCAGGGAGGCCATTCCTGAAAAATGTGCCCTTCTTTCATCCCATAGAATGACGAGTTTAGCATGAGAAGGGATTTATGTTATCTCAGGGCTTGTGAGCTTTTTGCGACTTAACTTTTAATGCTCAAATTAAAAGTGACTGTGTTTCTTTGTTTTCTACTTCTACCTTTAGCTTTAACATATATAACAATATCTCGTATTCAGAGTGACTGTGCAAATCAGTCAGGAACGAGCTCTGCTGTGTGAAGAGATGACTCTGAGGAATTACTCGTTAGAGTGCAGAAAATAACATTTCCAGCTTTTAGCTGTGGCTTTTCAAGAACTGCCTGCTCTTTTTAACTGTTGAAACCACTGTTGATAGAGATCCATAGACTCTCTTTAACCTCCTCTCTGTTTTGGATGCATAAGGGTGTGTTTGAAGCTACTAGTGGGTATGGAAAGACATTGTGGTGGTGATAGCATGTGTATTTGCTAAGTATTACTAAGATTTTCATGTATATACAGATCCTTTCTTTTTATGAAGACATAAACAGAGTTCTTAAGCATATATTCATGCTGACTGCTACTGTCTTTTTTTCTTAATAGGAAATGAAGAAAGAAATTGCAGCCTTCAGTTATGCTCAGTGATAAACTTGATTTCAGCATACTTCATGATGTTTTCATTCCCTGTTGTTATATGTGTGTAATTCAACAAAGGTTACTTCTACATATTTATACATATATTAAATAGATCTTAAAATGTATTAAGAAAGTCTTTTAAGTGCTTTGATATTTTTGTCCTATACATAGAACTCTATATATGTGGCATACTGCTGTGATTGCCTTTGGAATGCTGCAGATCTGAATATCTCCCAGACAATTTCAGTAACTTTCTTTAAAAGAAAACAGTTGAAAAGTTGATACGCCTTTATCACTGCTTTCCACATTGTGGGAATACATTTTTTTGAAATAATCTGTGGTGTTGTATAGTCCATTGCTTATTACATAAAGGTTTAAACCACATCTCATTTTGGTATATGAAAAGTAAATCCTTTAGAAACCTCTTCACACATTTCAGAGGCAGGGTTTTTTTAATTACCTGATAGCACCTTAAGTGGTTTTCATAGAGCAACAACCTGAAGAATGTGGGAGAAACACTCCTTCCACAAATGTAAGAACTTCTGCTGTGGCCTATTTTTGACAGTCAGAATAGCCTAACTTGAAACAAAGCAAGATTTACCACTCTAACTTTCTAAGGTAAAGTTTATTCTTGCTTGTAATGACAATCTTGATACTGGGGAGTAGCATTTTAATAGAAATTGCTAGTTACAGATGAGGTGATCTTGTATTTTAATTAATTTGTAACTATTTTTCTAGTTACCTGGAGAGAATTGTATCTCCTTATTACATAGAAGTGAATATATTGTTGGTGATAAATATATTTAGAATAAAAGCAAAGCAAAGCAATTTTGAAGATTTATGCCTCTTCAAACCAGCACACTTCTCAGTTAATTGGACAGAGTTATTTTTTAAAAAAATAATATTAAGATAGGCAAAGCTTAATTTTATGAGAATAAAATTTTGTATCAGTTGCAATAAAATAAGTGGCACTATACATTGCTCTTGTGTTATGTCATCTCACATACAGAATATCTGGTGATAGTGAATGCCTAACTGCAATCCCTCTGTGTGTGTTTGGTTTCTTATGTTTTAGTTTTCTTTTTTTCATTTCTTTCTAGTGAGTTTGTCCAAACCTACACAGAATTTTTTCATCTATCTGTATTGTTTGGATGGGTATTGATAAAAAATGAATCCCCTTGTTGGGTTTGTCTGCTCTACCTACTTTCATCACAAAATAATTTTGATCATTCAAAACCTTACCCTTAAAAAACAGTGTGAGTCTGAAGACTTCAAAATAAGGACTGTATGTGAGCAGCTTACCCCCATCTTGTTGTATTGGTTATACAGCAAAGGCCAAGTCCAGGAGGCAGAAAAACGACATTGAAAATTTGCATTTCAGTGTAACGTATTCCATTGGAAATCTAATACAGGAATTAATGTCATTTTTCCTTACCTTGATCTCCACCTTGGCTGCTGTCACCGATTCTTGATGGGACTGTGGGGGTGGTTTGCCGACCATGTTCCCCAAGATTACGCTTTGAAAAACTGAACAGGAGTGACTGGAAATGAGGAACCAGGAACATTACTGGGATTGGAACTTTTGCTCTTCCAAGCTTTCATCAGGCTCCTTCCTGTTGCCAGTCTCAACAGGATACTGTACCTATGCAGTTTTTTAAAAAAAATTGTAATTGTGTAAATCTTGATCTTCCATGACCACTGGTTAACTCTTTTAACAGTTCCCATAAGCCACCTCTTTTTCTTTCTCAGGGAAACAATCATATTTTAGTGTCCAAACTAAAAAGGCAAAGAGTGATGAAAGAGTATGTATAAACACAATATTTTTGAGAAGCAGGCAGGGGGAGTTACCTAAATATTGACTAAAATATCCAGGTATGTACTAAAGGAACAGGTGCCCTTTCTCCAAGTTCTGTAACAAAACGGGGGAAAAAAAAAAAAGTGGGGGTGTGGTTTTTTTCCTCAGAGTCGTTACATCTGCGCTCCTCGCCCCTGGTTTGGGTCTGTGGAGCCTGCGGCAATGTTCTCCCTCAGCGACAGCTCGGGGCGCCTGAGGGACACGGGGCTGGCGGCGGCGGGAGACGC